GTATCGAAAACCAGCAATTTGGTAGTAAATCAACAATATTAGGTTTACGTTATGAACTACTTATCTGCTAGATGGCTTCTTATGTATTCAGTAATAAAAGAACAGTGCTATGGTGCCAGAACCGGGTTTAGTAGATAAGTTATGTATTTAGTCTTTCAATTCTACTAATGAAAGCGACCAATGAAGATGAACATAAGAACATCGAACGAACGTAACTCTTCAAATATTTTACTTATTGCTATAAATATGATTATATTATGATTATATTTCGCTTTAAATTAAGCGTTAAATCATTTTTGTTTTCAGTGTTGGAATCTTCGCCGTTAAGTTGCTGTATATCATGTGGAGGTCGTGAAAATCTTCTACATGATCATCCTTATTTCCTAGAGAAACTTTGTGAAAACTGTTGCGTAAGTACAGTCTTATGTTTCTTAATATGAATCAGGAACGATCATTTTCAGAATACATATCGTGAAAACTGCTTCATCTATGACGAAGATGGTAAAAATGTGAGATACAGTAATCAAGTTTATTCTGTTTCTACAAACATCTTATTTTCAGGAGTACTGTACAGTTTGCGGGAAAAGCGGAGAGCTGCTTGTGTGCGACAGCAGAGACTGCCCGAAGTAAATTTCCTAAAATTTTTACCTCCTATTCAAACACTGACGATGATAGGTTTATTTTCAAATTTCAGCATCACGAATAGTCGAAATGACGTGGAATTTCACCAAAACTCGTCTTGAGGCTTATTATCAGAATGTCCGTTTCCAAGAGAGAAAATCCGTCGGCTACAACTTACCATTCCTTCGTTAGCCGATTCTTTTTGCACATATGGTAGGCTTCTAGGTCTATTAAATGCGGCCTTGGAAACGGCTCTTTGCATTAGTAGAATTTACTTTGCATAAGCAGAAAAATGGAATCTATAATTAGGTCATTTCCATTACATAAGCGTGAACCTGAACTTTTTGAAATTACTGAGAATCAACAAATCAGGCTCCATTCATATCTAAACCTCCAAGGATTTATTTCAATTCGTTTGAATAATTATGACTGTTTCTCATGTGAATCTTGAACTTCATTCAATTTTGTGAGTAAAGAATGCGAAAATTCGATATTCGTATTGCTCCTTTTCCAAAACCAAAATAGGCGTGAATCTTGATTGACTTTTATATATTTTTTATGATAACAATTGATGTGTTCACAATCTTAACTGAATCGCGATCAATATGTGTACTTCATATCTTATTCAAACTAGAATTGCACGGTAAAAATCTGAATTAATATTTTGCACTTCAGCGTGTTCTGCAAAGACTGCGTGATCACGTTTGACTCAGAGAAGGCTTACAACGAGGTAAAATATTTCTCCAACTTGCAAAGTAAATTTACCTTATACCGGAATTTCATAGATCTTGAAGAAAAGTCCCTGGAATTGCCACGTTTGCACAGGCGAACATTTGGGCATTTTGAAATGCTGTGGTGATTGGCAGGAACGGCTGCTAAAGATATTCAACTCATCGAACATATCTGACGTAATTAAAATATTGTATCTAATGACTGAAGTCTGATTATGCTTTCAGTCAAGAATATTCATTAGTCACAATATAATGACCCAAGTTTTCATATATCTTAATTACAAAATGTTTTCAGGAAGTGGAACTGACACTCATTCCTGAAAAGAGATATCCCATTCGAGTGCTCTCTTTGTTTGACGGAATTGGCACTGGTACACACATTTGTAGTTTTCTTCTTCAGCAACTAACAAGCGAATATTAGGCAAAGTCATATTGGATCAGCTCGGATTAGAAACTGAAGTCTACTACTGCTCAGAAATCGATGCTGAAGCTACGCTTGTCACGAAAGTGAACCATCCTGAGAAAGTCGTTTACCTCGGGGACGTACGTTCCATCAACCTCAAGACGGTGCGAAGGCGTTGTTTTTATTTTTTTATATTAATTCTGAGTATTTAATTATGACCGCAATATCTATTAGCGATTACCCATAAAAAGTTACCGCATAATATTGTTTGAGCAACTGGCGTTTCACTCTTCGGTCAGTGTGAAATTTTCTTTGGTTTGTTTCCTTACTGTAGAAATGGCGCCACTTTCTTGAGTCTGGTTTAAGCCACCAGAGCTGAGTACCGCCACTGCTTCAGTACAATTTTGGCCCATTAAGGTTTCTTTGCCGTGGAATGCAGCAGCATGAAGCACTCCAAATTTTTTCATTACCAGCTGCTGGGAGTGAAATGCTACAAACTATCGAGAGTTTCCCTCCAGAAAATCATACCAAAGTGTATGAAATCGCCAAATCACTACCGCGGAATCTAAGTTCGATTCAATATTTCACTCATTAGAGCTGGCAACATACTGTGAGGTGACCTGCAGCCAGTGATTCTTATTGTCGCATGCGGAAACTTGATTTCTTTATGACAGGGAAGCTATGCTTTACACATGGTTTTATATACTCAAGTTGGGCTGCTCCCATCTTTCGACTCGGCCCGTGACAAATTCGATGCTAATGCCTACATTGCAGAAAGAGCGTCCACGTTTTGGACTAATACCCCAAACCCTTGTAACTGCATATTTACGATGGCAAACGGGGAGCATCAATGGAATAATCTGTTTATTAGATGAACGGTTAGAGTTCTGCTGACGTATCTGTTACTTACGTTAATGAATATATTCGTACTCATCTTATTCGTGGCCCTCCTTTTTTCTCTTGTACTTCTTTTACGGCAGCTTCAGTTCAGTTGCCTTTTCCTATCATTCTCTTTCCTTTTCCTTCTGTCATTGTCCTCCTCTTCCTTTTTCTTTCTCACTCTCTTTCTCATCCTTCATTTCATTGTTTCCCTTCTCTGCTTCCTCCTCCATCTCGTATTTCTCGCTCTGCTTTGCTATCTGCTTTCCCTTTTTCTTATTCTTCTTTTTCTCCTTCTCTTTTTCTTTCTTAAGTCCTACTTAACAGAACTCGAATGGAAATGAAACAGATTTCATTCAAGTCTACGTTTCTCAAATCTCCTGTCTCCTTAAGCGTTCTAACTAGTAGTCGTTAGGCGGTCTACTTGGCTGCCACATGTTGTGTACTATGATACTACGGATTCTTCACAAACTTAATTAAGTCAATCAGTTCCTTCAGAGAAGTTGATCATTTCATAAGAATTTAAACACTAGCAGATACCACTGAAGAGTTGCAAGTAAACACTACCTCTACCGAACCGAAGCGGGCTCCTGCACAATTTTCCTTACGTTATTTCGACAAGAAATAAGTTTATTTAACCTCTACCATCGCAGGACTGAGAATGATTGCTGCATTTTGAGCTGTTCGGCACTTTAGGATGGTTTGTTTTGTATTATGAGTGGCAAAACGACAGCTGACCGCGTAATAAAACTCGCTTGTGCCCTCTTTCTTCACTTCATTGAGTAGAACCAACTGCTTTGTTCAGAACATTATTTTAAGATCTTTCAGATGCAACAACAGCTAAAGAGATTTCTCATTTAAAATGCGCCTGATTTTAATCACCAAGAAAAAATATAGATCAGCGCTATTACACTATTAAAGTGTTACTACTGTGTCCGGTTTCGAACGTGTATGAATATTACTTCATCGTCATGCTAAGCATCGTGCTTACAACTCTCATCGAAATATCATATTCCTATTACATTAC